TGTGTTTATGTATGGCAGTAACGTTGTGTTTATGTATGGCAGTAACGTTGTGTTTATGTATGGCAGTAACGTTGAGTTTATGTATGGCAGTAATGTTGTGTTTATGTATGGCAGTAACGTTGTGTTTATGTATGGCAGTAACGTTGTGTTTATGTATGGCAGTAACGCTGCGTTTATGTATGGCAGTGACGCTGCGTTTAATATGAGCGCAAAATTCAATCTCCAGAAGTTAGCTGTAATTGGCCATGTTTGTATAATGTGCGTGACTTTAAAGCAGGTTCTGTCAAGAAGATTTAGGAGATGGGAAGTCATAGCTTGCCTCCGCCATGTTTGGCCGCCATTGTTGGCCGCCATGTTTGGCCGCCATTGTTGGCCGCCATGTTTGGCCGCCATTGTTGGCCACCATGTTTGGCAGCCATTGTTGGCCGCCATGTTTGGCCGCCATTGTTGGCCGCCATTGTTGGCCGCCATTGTTTGCCGCCATGTTTGGCAGCCATTGTTGGCCGCCATGTTTGGCCGCCGTTGTATGGCGGGCTATTTCTAGTTTTTGTTAAGCTTGGCCCTGAATAACTGCGACGCCTAGTGTTAATTTAGCCACTTGTACTGTGTGACAAGTCGCTCACGACATTGATATTTCTGTGGTCTTCTATAGATCTGCCGTCTCCTTACATTATTTTGGTGGTGATGCAGCATAACCGAACATTCCGAACTCAAAAAATTCCACCCTGTTGTGAGAAATCCACCCCCCCCCCCCAACCAACCCTCCATAATTGTCTATCTCCAGTAGCTGATTGAGATTTTATCTTAGAAGTTTGCCACTGGGAGAAGATCCGCCATCGTGCTGATTACCTAGTCACTTGGTCACTGTCACGTGGTCATTGTTCACCTTGTCATTGTCACTTGGTCATGATCACGTGGTCATTATAACGTGGTCATTGTCACGTGGTCATTTTCACGTGGTCATTGTCACGTGGTCATTGTCACTTGGTCATTGTCAATTGGTCACTGTCACAGGCCTCTTCCCCGAATATCTCCGTTAATTGATTTGCTATTTAAATATTCGGTAAAGACACCTACTAACTAATCCTGTAAGTTAGTGCCAGCCACGTCATGAGAAGTTCCAATGCTCGCACCCTCCTCTCTCCCCCCCCCACCACCCCACACCCTAACCCCCTCTTCTATTTGTATGTTTTAATTCCGCCAAGAGCTCCGCCCATGTTCACCGAACGACACGGTAATCTCGCCCCGAGAGAGTATCGCCCGTCACGGGGTATCGATGTCACCCGGCCGAACATGGTCCAGGTGGCGTTCAGACACCGTTAGCTACAAGTGAAGGGAGGTGAACAAGTCAGGAGTGGGGAGCCGATAAACCGATATACGAATCGGCAGAGCGCTCGGATAACAACGAGGTGATATACGGGGGCCGGCCGAGGCTACCGCGAGACTTTTCAACCCTCGCGAAAATACGAGGTTTACTGCATCGTAAATCCCCGTCGCAGACGGCGATAAAAAAAATGCGCCAGATAAGGCCCAGGGGGGGGGGGGGGAGTCACTGGTAAAAAGATGTGCAACCTCCCCCCCCCCCCCCCCCCCCC